AAATTTGAGAGGCTCAAACCAATATAAAGATCTGGTCTCAATAAGAGCACCATCGGTGGTGCCAACAGCTGCTGAGGAAGAGCTAGACCTAAGAGCTGGCTGAGAGGAGGGCATTAAAGAAGGGGAGAATATGGGCTGCAGAAGATTTGGGGTGGGACTGGAGGGGGAGGATCTCCCATCAGCGATGGTAATGGCAGCAGTTAGAGAAGAGGTTTATGACGAGAGAGGAAAACAGAGTGAGGCAGGATCTAGAGTGTGGTGCTAGGAATGAGCAGTTGAGTATTTGGCTGTGAAGTCTATAGAAAAACAAAGTTATTTTTTTGATAGCTGTTCAGAATCCAAAAAGTATGACAGTACCATTCTTTGTTCTCTTGCTTTTATAACTGTGTCATCTAAAAACTTGGCTTCTATTCTGTGGTTGTTTAGGTTCTGCCCTTTGTGAGATATTTTGCACAATGTAGCCTTCAGAATATTCCTCCTGTTTATTACTACCTCCGCCCTTCTTTTTCTTCCAAATGTCATCTATTTCATTGGAGAATTGTACCCTGGGGTGCTTCAATTATGTATGAATGTGGAGTATTCGGGATGTGCTATTCAAAAGTGCTTTCAATTTGCCCTCTGAGCTTTGAATATGTGTGTAATCTCCAATATTTTAGTTTCTAGGGCACTCTTAAATGTACAGTCAAGATGCAGCTTTTGTTCCTAAGTGTTCAGGTTTTTTACCCAGTTTCTAGCAAGACCTTACAAACCTTCCACATGGTTTTTCATAGAGTAAATTGCCAGCATAGAGCAAGGAAATTCCTGTTGGCTTGTAGCACACATGTCTACCCTGAGACCTTCCATCCTCTGGTGGCACCCTGTCCAGCAGTCTGCCTCTGTTGCCAAACATACTTGGTTTGAGTTTCTGAATGACAGGTCATTGACTTACTTCTCATCTGTCAACATGTGAAATCTCCTGCTCAGAAATGTGATGTCGTCTTCAATTGCCTCAATGTGTAGGAAAATGATCTTTCCAGAACAGTTTGCACTCTTTTTCTTGTTTTGGAAGAGCTCAGCACAGTCTTCACCCATACCCTGTCGCTTGGGCATTCAGGTATTTTGACTTATTCCTACTTTGGCATTTGTGATGGGAGGAGGCAGAAGCAGTTGTTGATGGAAGGAAAGATGAGCCAGAGACTGTGAAGGTCTTTCCTTACTGTCAGGCTTTTAAAGGGAGGAGACCAGTAAGATGCTGCATGGAGACTGAAGGCAGAAGAGTGGAGGGTTTGAGGGATGAGTTAAATGGTGTGAGGAGAGAGCTGGTATTGTGCACAGGGGATTAAAATGTGTTGGGTTGAAAGTGTCTGGTGCAGTAGGGCTGCAGTAAATAGAGAGATGGCAAAATTCAACATGTAGCTGTTCTGTTAAGAAACAAATAATTGAGGGTTGACTAGAGAAAGCTCCATTTCTGTCCCAGCACTGCAGGATAAAGAGCTTCAGCCTGTAGTTGCCTTCTAAGACAGATTATGTCCCATCTGTAGAAGTTATTCCATTTGGTGCTGTAGAGAGAATGGATCAGTAGCCACTAGAAAAAGATACACAGTAAAACTGATCTCTGCAGATATTCGAGAAGCATTGCTTTGACTGTCACCCGCAGAAGCAGAGATGTTGCTGCCAACATCTCCATCTGTTGTCCAGCAGCAGTCATCGGGCCTGTACTTCTGACGACATGTTGCTGTTGGAGCACATGGAAAGGGCACAAAGCTCTAACACTATTACAGGGCAAACCAGAAGCTCTGGTGAAGAGTTTAACAAACATTTTTGGGGACCAGCTTCTGCCTGTGGCTGTGAAGGTCTTCCAGCCAATTTCTGGCAACTCTGCTTTTTCTGCAGACTGCTAACTGTTAAATACCACTTCTAATTCATTACAGAATGTGGGGGTGGGAATGCTGTGAGCTTCAGTAGGCAGGATCTTAATGATTTGAGGTAGAATGAAATAACCTGGATGAGAGGATGGGGAGAGGGAAAATAAAGGCCATGTGGGATCCTAGGCACTTGCAAGGATATTTGAAGCTATGCCTTTGCCAGTTGTCTGTACCCAGCTGCTGTCTCACAGCAGCCTTGATACCTTCCAACATTATGCTGCTGTCACCCATCTTCACAATAGAGCTGAGCATGATAAAGTTTGAGTGATGCTTCTCTAAAACAAGACAAATTGTGCCAAGAAGAAAGGTCCTGGTTGGATAGGCAGGAAAATGCCCAAGGAGGTAAAAGGGGGGTATATTTAACATTGGAGGAGGAGGGAAGGTTCAGTAGTAGGTATGGATGTTTTGGTAAAAGGCACTGGGGAGATGAACAGAGCAAGGGAGGATACGAATCACAAGATGGCCATTACAAGGAGCCTTGAGGTAGAGGGGAGTGCAGAGGGAGGGTGCCAGGTGCACAGGTAACTCTGCTAAGAAAACCTATGGAGTATGTAGTATCCTAGTAGGAAAATAGTGATACCTCAGTAAGCAGTTGCATGGTGGGCATGCGCTTTAAAGTAGCCGCTTGCAGATCCAAACCAGCCCACAGTGAGGGACCAATTGGCTCACCAGCAGATTGTCTTATCCCTTGGGCGATACTCTATAGGGAACATGAAGTGAGCATGGAGCAGGAGAGACTCTTGGTTGGCTAAGACTCACTGCAATAGGGGAGGGAAGGTGCAGGACATTTCCTAGACTTAGAGATTCCTGCTTTGTTTTCAGCTCAATTGCTAATCCAAGGTCAAAACTAATCTGTCTGCATCTTTTATCTCAACTGCCTTGTCTGTAGATTTTAAGGGCTTGATGTGTGGTCTCTGTGCTGACATACTAGTAAGCTAATCTTAATTTCGATGCCAATAATCATGAAATACCTTTGATGTAAGTTTGGAACAATCTGTCCTTTCTATGCATTTCACTGTTAAGGTGCTCTCTTGAGCCCTGATTAATAACCTAAATGACTTACTGTAATTAGCTATTTCTCAGCCTTAGCATTGGGGAAGGCAGAAATTTGACAGCTTTCAAAAGTGAGTGGAGCATGGTCAGGGAGGCTACAAACATTCCTCCCTTTGTCCTCATCTGGAAACTGTTTCTATCAAAAAAGGGATATTTAAAATTTATTTTTTAAGATAAATACTGTATATTTAAGACTTCCTTTTACTATATGCTGTACTTCTTTTTGCAATTAGTGTGTATTTGTCCTTGCACCAACTTTGTTCTTTAGCACATCAATTACTTCAAAATACAAATTATGTCTCATTTCTCAGAGATTTTATATATAACACTCTTCTCTGGGTTCTGTTCCATGATGCATGAATTGCTAGGGAATATTACATTAATATGTCTAGAATACCAGTGCCGGAAGATACACCATCTAAAATAGGGAGAAGCTGTTTAATTGAATTTTGTTCCCCTCTAAGATCATTGAGGTATAAATTACTGGGAGTACTACCACCAGCATGTAAGCATTTTTGTTCTCTGAGCATTGTAATGAACTTTCCTTTATGAAGGAGCATGTTGGTAAGAGAAACAAATGCATATACAGGAAAGCAATGCTGCATGCTCTGGATGGTTGAGGTCTCAAGCAAGTTTAACAAAAGCTCACTGTGGATACATCACTCCAACAAACAAGGCAAAATTCCTTTTCCCTGCCCCTGAATACTGAGCAAATTTCAGCTTTTTCTCTGATGGGTAAAATTTTCTGGAATTCCTAAAATAGTTGAGTATTTCAGAGCCAAAGTCATGAAGGCAGGCCTGGGCAAATTTTTCAGAGAATTTGCATTTTTGTGTGTTCCTAAATCTTTTCAGGTTCCATAGTGTTACAGTATTGTTTGAGTGACTGAGCACAGTGTCTGCTGCTTCTCATTTCTGTTTCCAGCAGGATATTTCTGCTGACTCTTAGAAGAAAAGGGTCAAATGCCTAGTTGATTTTAATAGGTCTTCAACTTTGGTGAAAGTTATGCTTGTAAAATACTGTCAGTGAAATAAAATTGAAGGCTTGTGTACAAAGGAAGGGTTATGAGCTTTTTCCTTCTGCATGACAATGCAGAAGACTCCTCTTCTAGACGGATCACTTGTAGGAATAAAGGAACAGCTTTACTTCAGTGCTCTTTCAGTTGGTAGGTATACTAGCTGGACCGTGTTTGGTTAATTATAGTCACATTACTTAAGGGATAAATGTTCCTGCACTCTAACACAAACATGTATGTCCACCTACAGATGGTGGTGGCAGCTCTCGAAATGCGTAGCATTGTGGAGTGCACAGTAGGAGGCTGCAGGCTACAGCTACTGCAGCCTGCTACAAATGAGCCAGGCATTTCCCTGTTAACAGCAGGATATCGCACTGTACCCTGGTTCCTGGTACAATCTGTTTTGGTGGGTTGTCTCCAAATCATGATCTAAGTAAAGGATCTAAGAATTAGTGCTGTGCCTGGAGAGTTTGATGAGGGTGTTCTGGCTGGTTGGGTATTGCTGGCTCCTCTCATTTATGGGGGTGCACACACACTTGTATCACAGCCTAGTGGTTGCTGCCAACAGAAATAAATCTGAACGTTACTGCAGTGAAACTAATGGGCCATTTCCTTCTGGTCATCTTATAGAGGCCTTTTTTGAAACTGAAGTTCCCATGCTCTCCTTTTGCTGGCAGCATTGAAGCCTGTGCAGATTCAGTACAACACGTAATCTCAGTTATGAGTGGAGTCTTTTCCAGCCAAGCAGACAATCTTCAAACTGCACAACAGTGACAAGAACCTCAGGAAGCCCTTAAGCTGAGGTGAAGGACACTGTATTTATCAGTAGCTGTGACAGCTAACTTGGGGTGCTTTTAAAGCAACAGCCCCATGAAAGGTACTTTAGATCAGTTAGCAGTTTATAGAAAGTATCTGCTGCCTTGATTCTCAGCTTGTCTCCAGCTGAGCTGAGCAGGTATGGTAGCAATTGCATCTGCTCCCTCTGGGATTCCTTATAACCTTCTGACTTTTCTTACCATTTCTCATTTAGATTTATGTCCATCTCAAAGAAGGGAGTGGTGCTGACGGGCTGGATGCTTTGAAGAACAAGCCACAGCTTCACAGTATGGTGGCCAAAAGCCTTTGTCAAAATGCCGCTGGGAAGAACTACATCATCTTCACTGGCCCAAGTATTACCAGCCTGAATCTCTTTGAAGAATTTGAGAAGCAAGGTGTGTATCATTGGGTGACTTACTGGGTTTTAATGATGACAGACCTAGGGGCCTTCTGCCACTGAATTAAAAAAAACCTCACAAAAGGCTTTACTGGTATTTCAATTCCTTGTATAGATAAGTTGGTCATCTCTAAGAAAAGTTCTCATTCATGAGAAGGTACTGTACAGAGGACTTTCTAAGTTGCTCTTTAAATCTTCTTGAACTTCAAAATGAGGATGTAAAAACATTTTAAATAAGGTTGTTTAAAGCCCTTGCTTTTGTTCTTTGCCTTGGAAATGTGAGGTTTAATCTCCTATATGGCCTGGGGGACATTTCAAGTGATTTCCTAGCTGCCTGTGATTTTTCTGTTCCCATTGTGAAAGACTAGAGATGGGATGAATCCTCAAAGGTATGATTTAGAAGTCCTTGCTGGTTTAATATCTGTTAAAGATGTGACTTCTCTAGGTGACATTTTATGCTATTGCAAAAGCCCTAGCAAAGTTTGCTTTTTTTCTGGTATCAATATGCCTTGGTAGGACAGTTTTTAGTTTTAAAAGCATAATAAACTCTACATTAGCAAAAGCACACTTGCCAGCAGAATGTCCATCAATATGGCTCTCCCAGCTAGTTTCTTGCTAGTGCAGAGAGTAATCCCAGGTCATCCTCTCAGTCAAATGCCCCCTCAACTTGGGTATGGAAAAGCCATCTGTTACTTTGCTTTCAGAAATGATGAGGACTTACAACTCCCCTTAAATTACTGCACTCTTGACAGTCAATTACACATCATCTCAGTGTAACTCCTGGCTCGTTCTTCAGTCAGCACGGCCTTTCAGAGTTAGTGTGATGCATAGAATAGATCCTTCATAGCAGTAAGACTGGAGGCTGCCATTATGCATCACGCAGGAGGATGCAGGGCCATTTCCCTTTTTGACACACCACTGACTACTGAGTTTTGCTTTTGGCATGTTTTTTTGTCATTGCAGAAAATTAAACCCACTTAGAGCATTATATTAATGAAATGTGGCCCAAAGTAGAGGGAAAGACTGGGAACTGAGACAATATCTTGATGCTTATTTAAAATGAGAAAGCCAGTGCACTGCACCAGTGCTGTAACTGAGCACTTCAGACTGCACTGGCAGCCAGGGCTGTTGTTGTTGAGCTCTGCACAGGACTTAGCTCCTGCATTATTTTAGGTAAGCTAGAAGCTCACAGAGTACAGTGGAATACCGCTATATTCTCATAAAAGAGTCATAGTTTCCCAAATGCTGCAAACAGCCAAATGGGAAAGAAGTCAAGCTTATTTATAGTGCACTGGAGTTTTTCCTCTGAGCAGAGACTGTTCTTTAGTAAATGTCTCTTTTCACAACTGATTATAAGCATTACATTTTTAAGACTGCCAAAGCAATGATGCAAAATGTGGGTTCAAAAAATGTAGAGGATAACCCACGTAATCCTAGTACCTGAGATGTGTTAGGTTTAAATATAAAGGCTGACGGACTTGACTGCTGAGTCACACTCTTTATGCTCAGCTGGGGAAGGATAAAGACAATATGGCATGACCCAGTTGGTCCATAACCGTGGTGAAAAAGATGCATAGCTACTAAACCAGCTGAGTGTTTATTACTTACAGATAATTCAAATTGTTCACAGGGGTGAATTATTCATGGGCTTTACATAGAACAGATAATAAACAGTTTCTAGCAGGTAGCAAATTCAGTAATGTCTTTTTAAAACATGTGATTTTGACTTGCTATCTGATCAAATATGCTAATGCTATCCTGAGATTTCAGTTTGTTTCATGTTTTATCATATGGCTTCATGAGACTTTTTATGATATTTGACAGCTGCTTCCAAAATTAAATATCTGATCTGCTACATGCTATCACCTTCCTAGGGGTGAGGCTGGGGTGGAGGGTGGACACTAAGATAGCAGGTTTATTGGCTTTGTAAAATAGCATGGCACTCCTATATAAAGATGATAATGGGGAGAACATGAAAGTGTTTCTGTTTAATAAGGACATGTGATTGTCTGCATTTGCTGTGCGGCACTAGGGTCTAGCTCACAGGTTTTCCAGGGAGTTGTTGAACTGGAAGGACTATGAGACATGGGAAGAGGTGAGATGCTAGAGATGTCAAACAGTGATGAAGTCAGTAAGAGCTGTGGAGGAGATGGTGTTTATTCACTCTACTGCAAAGCAGCTAATGTATTGCCAGCACCTGCTGGGATCCTACTGCATTGGCAGGACATTTGGGGAGAGACAGGCAAAGAAGCCTGGATTCAGCAGAGAGATCTCTCCTCATGTATCTCAGAGTCACCCTCAGCAATGACCTTAATGCTTTTGTGGTGTATGGCAAACTAAGTCTGAACAGGGCCACACCATGACCAAGAAGTGTCACAAAAGCCTGTTGAAGAGCATCTATGCTCAGGTGCTCATGACAGTTCAAGACCCGTTCTTAACTTGATTCATTTACTTTTCTTATTCAAGAAAATTTAGTCTCTGAGCTAGAGCAGGATCAGTGGTAGAAAGAGAAAGATCCCGCTGAGAACTGAAAACAAAAAGAAATTGGTATTGACCTTAACTGTTTTATGTTGGTTTGGTTTTTTTTAACTATCAACAGAGAAATAGGAGGAGATGTAAACAAGCTAATGCTTAGAAATTATAAACTTTTGGGAACCTAAACTGAACTTTAAGGGAATTTCCTAAAGGAAATTCTGGAGAATCTAGAAAGAAGCACCCACCAAAAATGTATTCGTTCCTCTCAAAATTCTTGATGAAAAGGACTGAGGGCCTTGGTATCCAGCAAGCTGAACATGAGTCAGCAGTGTGCCTTGGTAGCAAACATGGTCAATACTATCCTGGACTGTGTTAACAGGAGTGTAGTCTGTAGATTGACGAGGTGATTATTGCCTTCTACTCACTATGTGTATTGCCTCCTACTCAGCACAATTTTGGACAACACTCCCCCCAGTACAGGAAAGGTATTGATAAACTGCAGTAAGTTCAGCAGAGGGCCACCAACCTCACCAGGGGCTGGAATACATGCTATACTACGGGGAGGGAACTGCACTGCTTCAGCCTGAGAAGAGAAGGCTTCGGGATGACCCAACTGCAGCCATATGCTATCCTGAGAGGGTTATCGAGAGAATGGAGCTGACTCTTCACGGTGGTGCATTGTGGAAGGACAAAAAATAACACACATAAGCTGAAACAAAAGAATTTGTTCAGACTAGATGTAAGGTTTTTCCTGAGACAGTGGAGCAGGATGCCCAGACAGGTTGTACAGTCTCTGTCCTTGGAGATTTTCAAACCCAGGCAAGATAAAGCCCTGAGCAGCACTGCCTGACCTCAGAGCTGACCCTACTCTAAGCAGGGGATGGGACTAGAGACCTCCTGAGTTTTCTTCCAACCTGAATTATACTTTAATCCATAGGATCCTGTGAAGATTTTTGTGGAACCTTAACTATCGTTTGCTTTTCCTAACCCTAACCCACACATGCGTTACCGCAAAAACTGCCTTCGTCTTTATTGAAAGCCTGCTGTGTAGCACCTTCAGTGTACCACAGTAGAGAATATGTGCCTAGTAATATAAAGGGATATCGGTGAACATAATTCTAAGATCTTTGAAGATACCAACAGCTGAGAAAAACTTCAGAAACTAAGAGAGACTTTGATCTTCTTCAGAATAAAAAAGCTGAATAGACCTCTTTTTTTGTTTTTCAGGGACAAAGCATTTCTTTCTCTGGTCTCTGAATAGAACTGGAAACCTGCACTGAAATGTCCCAAATTCTCTGTTCTGCAAGCAGACAGCTGTTGTCATTATTTGCGGTGACGTTCATTCATAGTGCACGTCCCTTTTTCCCCACTCTAAGCATTAGTGTTGTCCCTTACAGAGGACAGCACCTCCTGAAGCCCTGTGTCCCATGCTTTCTGTAAAAATATGATCCCCGAAACTCCCTTTTGCACTTTCTGAACCAGCAGGAGCAGCTGGCTCAGTCCCACAGAGTGGCTGGGGTTGGCAAAGCTGCAGGAGTTCACAACTTTGGTGACTATGGCACTCCCACAAGCTTTGCAGGATCCTGCAACTCTAGCACATGGACCTAAGCAAGCTCTCATGTCCTCTACAACAGCCCCCCTGGTTGCCCTAGCTCTGACTTGACCCAGCGTTGCGTGCAGGAGAAATTATTTCAGAATGTGTAGTTTTGAACTAGCTTGAGCCTGGCTGCCTTTGCAAATGGTACTAATGAAGATGCGGCTAAACAGACTTCAGCACAAGCTCTCTGGGGCCTGGAGACCCTGGGAATGGATCGTGGGTGACTACACTGCATTTCCTCATCTTTGCTAAGCTAGCTTAGGTGTATGCATTTATACTGCAGTTTACAGTTTAAGAAGGCCAGACAACCTGTCTCCATTGACTCCTGCGTATGTGGCAAACACCTGCTGTGATTCTGATTTAATTACACACAAAAACTTCATTGAGCTGGATGGGCATAATTTTTATTTCTTCTATTGCTATAGTAACTGGGTGGCTTTAAAAAATTCTACAGATTAAGGGTGTTATCCATGATGAGAGATGCTAGTAAATCTGCAGAAGTGCTGCATTTCTCTAGGCTATACAGCAGGAAGGTTACACAGTGTGTTCACGAGAGAGGAAATGGTTCCTGTTATTCTGTATGAGTGAAACATCTGCTGGAAGCTTTCTGCAGGCTTATTACCTGAGCTAAAGGAGAGGCTACAATTAATTATTATGGGATCTCGGAGATGGCTGTTGCTATTTTGAAGCTCTAGCACAATAATGTAGTTATTAGCTTGGTTTCATACCATTGCAGTCTCCTGGAGAGACTGTCACCTTTCAGAGTCATAAACTTTCGGCAGCTAAGGAAATTCTCAGGCTTGCTTGTTATCCAAGCACAAAGATCTTGATATTGGCTAGATATAAAGCTTTTGAAAAGTCTTTTTAAAAGTTTGCTATGTTAGTGCCAAAGTTTGCAGGTACATGGCCTATACTGTTTGTGTACCTTATAGCAAGAGGTGAAATAAATAAGTAAAAGCCTTCTACTGGCAGTGCAGTTCTTCCTACGTTGATTGTAAGCCTTTGCCATCAGGCTTTTCTCATTGTCTTTTGTGGAAGGAACTTACATATTTCAGGGACTGATTCATTCATTAGAAATAATTTATGGAGTGCACATTTCCTCCTTCAGAATGAAGTTGCCCCATCACTCTGTTGGTTGACCTTCTTCTGACATGAGTGTCTTACATTTCTGATGGAAGACACTTAGCGCCTTATAGACCTGCCCACAGCAACTGGACCAATTAACGAGTGTTAGCACTTATTGTATTAGTATTCCGGTAGTATCTGTGAGCTGTTGAGGGGATGCTCAGCACGCCAGGCACTATATGAACCAAGGACAAAGGCTGCACCTTTGAGAGCTTAGGTCATTCCAGAAAGACACATAAATGGAAGCCCAAGAACAGAGGTAACCCTCTCAGGGGAAGCCAGACACTGTCTGACTTAGCATTTCCCCTATAAGGATATCCAGTTATTCAGCATGCAAAATTCAGCATGATGAAAGATTTGATCAAGCAGACTTAGCTGACATATAAGTGTTAAACTACCACAAGCTTCAGCTGCCATATGAAAGATGTGCACAGATGTCACCTGCTTCCATGCCCATCTTTTTTTTTTCCACTCAGGTGGGTTAACGCAAAACCAAGGGAGACTAACGAAATTTCCATACAAGATTTCCTTGAGTTCAATTAATTTGATCAAGAAGATCTGCTTCTCTTGGACTAACACAAACAGGCTGTTTCAAGGATTGTCATTGTTGTTTCCAAATCTTGCTTGTGCCCACGTGGCTGCATTAAGACGTGCTTTATGGTGTTAGATTTTATTCATTGTCTTTTTCACATATGAAAAGACCAGGAAGCTGTGAGCAGCAGAATGTGTCACCTGTGGAGCCTCTGATGTCCGTGCAGGACAAGATCAGCGGGCACTCAACTAGGGCGCTATTTGGTTTAGCTCCTTTCCCTAAAATTCATTTTCATTGAACTTGTATTTCCATGTTCTCCATCCTCCTGGCACATGCATTTTTTTAAATCAACTGCTGGTTTCAGTGGTTCTTACTTCCTTAAGCAGCATTTCCGTAACAAACCAGATGATGCAAGTTCAAGGAGTAGTGAGCAGAAAATCAAGAAATGGGCAGCATAATGAAACAATAAATTAAACCAGAGTTTGTTAGCTATGTATATTGTGATAAAAAGCATCATGGGAGTCATGTAGGAGAATTTATTTAAGTTAACGCCTAAGATGCTATAGCTTTCCCTAGCTCTCTGCTCCCTCCACAATTTATTCTTAGTTAAATGTCAAAGACTCTCTTGGATGATAAATTCTGATTTGTTCCATAATGCATATCACTTCTTTTTTTTTCAGTCCAATTTTAAACATGTTGTGGAGTCTATTACACAGATTATAGATGTTATTGTTGGGAAGATAGCCTGAATTCCTCTCCTTGTCATTTCATCATGACTGTGCAGGAGGTGTCAATACATTTCATCAAGAGAGCAGGCTTTCTGTTCTTGTCTTGCTTTGCAGGGACATTCATGTAGGACACAAATCTTTGGTATTACAGCAGAAGGCCAGCTGGCTAACATATCTGTTGGACTAGAAAGTTGTAGGACAAACTCTTTCTCTAGTCAGGTTAATCAGACTTGCTCCACTGCTCTTGCTTTCTGGGTCCATGCAATGGCTTGCTGATAGGGAATGTTTTTGTTCACATACAGAGATTTACTGCTGTGGGCTGCTGAGCACCAGGAAGAGTGACTGTACAGGCCTACCTCCATCCATGCTGAACAACCCTGAAACTCCCCAGTCCAGAGGACAGTACAGAATAAGAATGAAGGGAAACATGTCCTTGATCTGCTGGTACAATAAAGGGCACTTTCGTTTTCTGACCAATGCCTATTCACCAGTTCAACAAGGTAAGCAATATTGCTACTGCTCATCTGGAAAGTCCACATGCTTTATGTGACAAAGCAAGAGGAGTCACTGAGTTTGATAATAAGCCTGAACAAAGAGCTTGATCATAATAGCCTAGATAATCAGTAGCAGTAGTGATGACTGACTTTCTGTGTTTTCCTACAGATATTCTTTTTCCCATAGAAAGGTTAAAAGCCTACTGCTAATGCATCCTCCTTTGCCTGAGCTGGTGGAGGCAGTATCCTTTTAGGTATAAAGATTATATCTTTGCTGATGGTCAGAGAAGGGAAGAAGGTCATTGTATAACACTATACTAGCCCCATTTGCAAAGTATCTTATAGGATTTCTGCTACAGAAAAATTAATTAGACCTCTGAGCAGATCCTACAATTAATTTATCTTATCCAGTAAAAACTTAGTCACAAAGAAATGTCTCTTTTCCAGAAGTAAATATTATTAAGGCTTCCTGTTGTATGTTAGATTGATTTTAGCAGTTGATGAAAAGAAACAAAAACAGGTAACTTGGATAGTTCAAATAATTACAAAGAGCTTCTTGATACTGAAATCTTTTCTGTTTCAAAAGGTTTGGAAACTTCTGCAAGATGCAATAAGATGCATCTTTGAAACTCATCTTTCAGTGTAAATGCTGCTTCAGTTTCTCTTCATTTTTATTATTTAGAATTGTGTATAAGATACCTAAGATGAACAAGATTAACCTAAACCTTTAAATGTAAAGACATCAATTCAAAGGTGTCTTTCTGAGTCCCGAGTGACTCTTACATGTGCGTAGAGGCTACAGAAGCAAAGCTAAGGCCTTGATTTACTGTGTGATAAGCTGAGAAGTTGACTTAGTGTGTTGGTCAATGCCTTGCCAGAAGCAAAGAGTGGCTGATCCCAAGGAATTCTGCGGGGCACCATACCTGAGTGAGGACTTGGTGACTTGGACAGACAGGTGTCTGAGCACCAGTGCTGAAAATATGTGCGTGAAGGAAATATTACTAGAAAAATACTTTGTAAATGTCAGTGTTAACTGCCCCTTTAAAAGGGGCCAAAAGCAGACTCTGCATTGGCAGTGTCCTTTACAAGAAGCACATGGGGGTGTGAGCTGTTGTGCTTGTAATTGACCTTGGGTCTGTTTTGATATAGCCAGCATTGTAGGTTGCATGTGTGAGGTAGTTTAAAGTCCACTGATTAGGACCTCTGTGTGAGGTGGTGGGCAAGACATGCCCAATACATTGCTCACCTTTAAAAGCTTTCTGGGATGGTTGACATAGTTCGTGGTGAATCAGAGCAGAAAACAGAGACTTGCCTTTTAAAGAGTGGCGCTGGGGGAAAGAGAGGCACTAGTTGGAGAGCTGGGAACAGATGGTGACTCAGGAGGAAGACGGAAGACCAGATTGCCTGCCTCTAATTTGGCATCTCTGAAGTCAGTGCAAGCAATGCTAGTTTAAACCAATTTGAAGCTTGACCACCAAAGTCTCCTTTAAGGCATGTAAATACAGAGGAGGAAGAGGAGGAGAAGGAATCTATGGTCCTTGAGGCAAGCCTGTACCACAGACCTCCTGAGCATGTGTGTTAGACAGGAGAGGAGGTAGAGATGAAGGGGAATAAAACCCATGCAAGGGTAGAGGGACAGAGACTGGTGCCAGGGGGATCACCTGACAATGCATGGTATGTGTTTGCACTTGGTTGAGCTAATAATGAGTTCTTTATTGCAATTTAAAGGAAAGTCAAGAAGGTAAATCTTGCCTGTACTTGGAGTGCAAATCCCAACCAAGCCAGAGGCACCAGGAGGGCAGTACACTTGTCAGAGCTGATCTATGAATACTATTCTTAGTTGCGGCAGTTTATTTATTATGGATGTTTTGAACCAATGTGTCATAATACATCATCTCAGATGCTAAAGGGTGAGTCTTATTCCTTTAGTCTTGCAAAAATGTCCTGCTTACTCTGCTATCAAGTGTGAAGTATCTGCCTGGAACAAAATTCAGTGGGGTTTTGTATTTCCCTTAAGCTTTAACTTGAGTTTAATTTTCCGTTGTGCCTGTATTACAGAAGTACTGAGGAGACAAAGGAGACTGGGACCCCCAGAGAGTAAAAAGTTACCTTTATTCTAAAGCAGGTGAATGCTGGCCCAAACCTCCCCATCTGTGGCACGTGGCTCCATTTTTGTTTTTCCACTCTAGATCTGGTGCTCACTTTCACAGCATCTCCATTACTATGTTCTAGAACTAAGTACAATCTTTTTTATTTTTCATATGGAGCAGGCAGCAACCTCACTTGCTGCACATCAGGATGACCAGAATGATTTCTTTAGCAAAAACTTGTTGAACCCATGATCTTTTTAAGTAGCTTCTTTGTGAAGAGCTTTCACAGCTGCTTTTCACCAACCAGCTCTATTCAAGCACTAAACGGACAATACCTAAGGACAGAAAACAAAGCTTGGGCCACATACACGAGGACTAAAGAGCTGCACATGACGTGTTGGCATCTCATAAGTGACTTGTGATAAGATGCGAGATGTTATGGAGATGTCGCAATTGTATGAAGCAGTTGTATCAGTCCCTGTGTGGTCTTTAGCCCAGGAGGAGCAGGGAGCTGGAGTGAGGAGTGTCTGGTGACAATCTAGTTTCCTGAAAAAATCAGCTTGTGAGATTGGCCCAGAACTAGAAAATCCATGGAAAGAAGCATAATGTTAAAAAATGTGTTTCAGGACAGAGAAACTTAGGGTTTTGACTTTAAATTTCCATGTGTCCTTTGTGTGACTACATTCAGGGGGTTGTGTCCAAGTATGGTGAGAGTGGGGATGGGGCCGGAGGACTCTGATGAGAACATTAGACCCTCTACAATGCTGGCTATCTGCAATTCCGATAAAGAACTGTAACAAGTCTAAGTCCTGATAAAAAGCCATATAGCCCTTGGAATGTGCAGTGCCCCCTGTGTTATATTATGGTATGAATCTCAGTGCTTGCCAAGGTGGATGCAAGTGCTAGCGTTACTGAGCCTCCGCTTTTCAAACACATGATTCTAGCTCCTAAAATCACAGTTTGGCTTAGAGTAAGTGTTTGAGGAAACAATCATATGTACACCTTTGTTTTTCTGCTTCTTTCATTTGGGATGGTATTTCCCAAGCTTTGCTTGACAAGCATATAGCTTAAAAACTTAAGAAAGGTTGAAAAAAAACAACAAACCCACACCAAAAAACCCCAAAAGCTCACGCCTCTCTGTAGCCAGCAGCCCTTCCAGCACGCAGGCAAAGGCAGGCTGCGGCTGCAGCGCAGGTGGTGTGTTCCCTGGAGTGCTGCCAGGGACCAGGGACGGGAACACAGCGATGCTGGGGGAGGACCAGGAGGGGAAATGGCTCATCGGATGTGCCGGTGAGTCAGCTGGCTTGGGACCGCTTGCCACAGAGACCTGCAGTTAGGAAAGACCCAGCTCCGGCAGCTGCCTTCCCTGGAGAGGTGGCCTATGGCTACGAAACAAGCCTAGGACAGCTATAAAAACAATGGGCGTATAAAGCTGCTTATATTCTCAAAATAGAGGAATGTTACGTGGAATATAATAGAAAGTGAGAGACAGTATATGGTACCCACGTAGCTGCCACCGCAATGCATTTTTTTTAAGGATTGTGAATACAAAACCAATTGCAAAGGGAATATAAATCCTCCAAGGGAGGAGAGGTGAAGAAAGAGAAAAGAGGAGGGCAAGAGAAGAAAGAAGGGGACTTATTTGTAAAACACTGGCATCAGGAACATACTGACCCTTTCCTGACTCGCCCAGCTGGGATGGCGAATGATGTTGCAGCGCTGATGCAGCAGGCTTGGTGGTATATCAGCCCTTTTTACCTCATGCTGGCCAGATTTTTGTAGGACTCGTGAAAAGGATCAACAAAGCACTGTAATAAGTATGTGAAGGTAATGAATTATTTATTTGATTGGGTTTTTTTCCCCTCCCCTTGGGCTACATTTATGCCCAGCTTGGGGAGACAGAGGTGAAAGGAGCGTGTATTGAGCAATTTAGAGGTGATATCAGATTTTAAAAACCCCAAATAAATTGCTGCATGGCTCAGCTGTAACACAACATTTAGTACGTGTCCTAAGTCTTGCTTCAAAATAGTGCCTGCCAGCTAGGACAGCACAGGGGGCTTGACAGAGATAATGGATGGAATGAGACTTCCAGCTGAAGGAATGAAATGGTGAAGTCTGTAATCAAAACGTGAGGAGCATTTTAGAGATGATTATAAAACAGTTGGCAGAAGGAAGGCAATGAGAGTTTGAAGGCTTGAGAAATGAGAAAGCCTAGAATTGTATCTGTACTGAAGCAATGCTGAGAAGAGCGGGCAGCCAAGCCTGTGCTTCTCTAGACCTGGAGGAAAATAGTGTTGTGCCTGGGGGAGAGCAGCAATCCTCACTCGGAGGTGTGCAGTAGACACAGAGCAAGAGATAGTCCATACCCTGGAGAGGCGACCATCAAACCCTGTGGGGACATAAAGTCAAAAGTAAGGAAAGAGACTCCTTTCTAAAGTACTACAAGTTTGTTTTACTTATCCTTCCCTCCTACAAGCAGCTTCCCCCAGATGGGGAAAACATACAGGAGAGGAGGAATAAATCGGAGAACAGCTAGGGGAGTTTCTTGGGAGAGTGTTTGACTCATAAATACTGCTGTAGTGTTGGAGAAGGCCAGGTCAAAGATGCACCATGTGAGGGAATGGGGCCTGTTCTTGGAGCAACCTACTCTAGGCACCACATCTTTGTCTTGGTCTATGCAGAGAGTGGTTAATAGGTAGCTGCAGAGGACCTGTTGCCTTACCACAGATTTCTGCAGTAGGCGGGATAATCATCTTCCATGATGAGCTGAATTATCTAGCCAGCTAGAGGCAGGACAGGGAACATCACTCACAGGCACAGAAATGTGTCCTAGCTCCACTGAGCAACCTAAGCATACATCTGAGCTCTGGCTCCCCACAGCAATGAATCAGACTGCTTCTCATTTCAGAGATACTGTGGTTCTGGCTCCTTCAGCTCACCCATCAGCATCACCTCTGTCTTGACTGGGTTTAGCTGGCTGGCTCCTTCTTACTTTATTTTCTTTCTTTGTCAATTAGCACCCAGTAGAGTGAGATACTGCTGCTCTTGGCACCCATGGGTGGAGATAAGGAAAGTATTTAATTTCAGGAGACTCACTTGGGACCTTCAGAACTCAAAGCATAAGATATCAAGTTACAGCTCTAGAGGTTCACATTGTGAACCAACAGAGGAGAGACTGTAGGGGGCTACGGTGGGACTATGGCAATGTGTGGTTTTTTTCTGAACACATGGTAAAAGTGTTTGTGTCTAACACCTTTTCATTTCCAACTGGAAAATGATCCCTCTTGTTCCCCTTCCACTTGCTCAATGTACTACCAATGAAAAAAAAAATCAAATTAGCATCTCTGTTACAGGTAACTTCCCAGTTTTAGGGCAGAAACTGTCATTAAGATTTATTTTATAATAAACTGCATATAGAAACCATATCTTTTAATTGCTAGACCTATCATGTGGATTTAAAACTGTTATGTTTCTATTTGATGCAGGAGTTATAATTAAGAGAAAAAGTGGAGAAATTCCCTGCCCATTGGCGGTTGAAGCATTTGCTGCTCACCTTAGCTATATCTGCAAATATGATGACAAATACAGCAAGTAAGTGAGAATATGTGTATGCATGTGTGTATTTCACTCCTCCTCTGTTGCTGTGATGTTTGAGTTCTCCATGTTGAGCTGTAGCTGAGGGCCTGATCCTACTTTCATGGAATTAATCACTGACAAAACACCTATTTCAGTCAAAGATCAGGTGCTGGCTCTGCAGAAGGGCAAGCGCCGCATTGGTAGTGTTGTTTTGGCTCTATCTACCCATCCACCAAAAAAAAAAAAAACTAGAGACTTATGTTCTTAGCATCTTGTAAATGACTTTTAAGAAGTGTTGGGAAGACGAGCCAGCAGGCTGATGTTCTTGGCTACATCAAATTGAAGGCTAATTAGACAATTCAACAAGGGTCTACCAGCCCCATGAGTCTGAGGCTAGCTCAGCTTTCCACCTCTCTCAGCAGATGGTGTTTAGGTGATTATCTGTCCCAGTGATATTGGTGTCACCTGAAGCCAGAAGAAAAGGATGTTCGGTTGTGGATGTAAAGTTGATCTAGATAATCTGGGAGACCAGAATGTAGATCTTTTGGCTCCTGAATTCCAGTTGGGGTCCTCAGTGTTAGCTCTTAAAGTAGCAGGAACAAACAGAAATGAGTAAGAATAGCACTGGTGAAGATTGGCTGTGGGAATAGCAATAAAATGCAGAAGATTTCAAGAACTAGAAGTTGAGGAGAGAGAAAAAGCAGCAGGGATTTTCCAAGCCAGTTCTGGGCAAGGGAGCAAGAATTCAGGAGAAGAGATGAAAGAGGAGGAGGTGGTTGCTGGAGAACTATATTGCAATCCGATCTGAGGAAATCAAAATGAAAAAGAGGTGAGGTAGTAGATTTAAATGGTTAGTAAAATTATGACATTAGAAAAGTGGGAAATCTTATGACCAAAGAGCAAATATTCTGGCAGTCCTAGAATTAGTTAGAACCTAAATATAAGGATATCAGTACTTTCTAGTTCTGCCTTATGGAGAGGTGCTCCACATACCAGCACTGCACGCTCTGGCTTTACCCCCACATCCTCCCACATACTGCTGACAGCAGCAGAAATCATTCTTTGCACGCAATAGAGATAAACAAGAGAAGCATCAGCAATCTTCCCTAACTGTAATGTAATGTGCCCAAGGCTTTTTTTAGTTGCAAATTGAAGGGATTCAGACCCACAGCTCCTGTCACATGGATGTTTGTCATGGGTAAGCTTGAGGAGCCTGTATCGGTACTCTTATTTACATGGAGTGTTACAGAGGTGAGAGTGTTGCTGAGGTTTTGCTTCTCAGAGCAAGGAAGTCTGTTCTTCTAGACTCTACTAGAAATTGCCAAAAATGTGCAACTTAACTGTAAATGACTGTCAAATACATTGTACAAAATTTCTTAAGATGATACTTGCACTAGGTATTAGGTCCTGGGCCTGCTTCCCCTTTGGGACTGCTGAATCTTTGTCTAGGGTTATTTCTTGTATCCCAGCTGCAAATGTTTGGCTGAACAGTGCTTTTCCTTCCCCTTCTCTCTTGGCTTTTTAGGTATTTCATTTCTCACAAACCAAACAAGACCTGGCAACAAGTATTCTGGTTTGCCATCAGCATCGCTATAAACAATGCCTACATCCTCTACAAAATGTCAGAGGCCTACCATGTGACAAGGTATAGCCGCGCACAGTTTGGTGAAAGACTTGTAAAGGAGCTCCTGGGCTTGGAAGACACCTCACCCTCCCATTGATGCATTGTTCTTGGTGGCATAGGCAGGGAGTGGAGGGTAAGCAGAAAAAGATACTACACCTGGAACGGCAAACCAAGGGACTTGTGAAACTACCAGTGCTGTCCTTATCCAAAAATGCCAAGTGATGCCACTTGAGAGGTGGAAACTTTGTTCCTAGTAGCAGCTGGATGTAAACATGTCCTGCAGAAAGTGCCAAGGGAAAAGCTGACACAAAATGGCGTATGTGAATGCCCTGTGGGAATCTGTACACCAGAAACAGACTTAAATTAGTTGTCGTCTCGCTACTATTTGTTGAACAGGGTCATCTTGTAAAGTTCCTCGTGGGCTTAGAGCTTGTCATAAGTTTCACAGCTCAGCAGTACTAGGCAGGCGTTATGGAAAATTCTATACCTTACTTGGAGTTATTCAATTGTGGGACAAGCAACGTAAGTCTGCACCATCAGCTGTGGTTGAGAGTGCCTGCCATCCTGTAAGGCATCGCTGCTGTCCTCCCAGTGTGCTAAATGAAGCAGTTCAGATACATGAAGACTGAAGCAAGCGTATTGACAAACAAAACCTTCACTGGCAGGCAGCCAGGAACTGAGGACCCATTAAGACTTTTTTCTTTTTTTTTTTCTTTGTTTTTGTTAATATAATATAAGGCAATTTGATCCCGATTAAAACACAGCAAAATTAGGAGAAACCAAATACATTAGTGAATTTAAAATGGAAATAATACATTACATTGATTTTCTTTTTTAACCAGGATGAAACATTTTGTACACAAACAAACAGTGAGTAATACTGTAAGTATTAACAGTGAGTAAACCAGTAATACTGCCTCACATCTGAACTGCCACGGTCAGTGTACGGGTGAGAAATCAGAGTATAACAATTATATTTTTTTCTTGATTTCAACTGTCTTAAATGTTGCTTAAAAATCTAATGTAATTCTTAGGAACAGCAGTTTCTTTTCCTTTTGTAACTGTCGAGACTTTTTTTTGGTCCATTTTAGAACTTCATTTGGCACACAGTTGGCAGGAAAAAAATAAGTCACTGGTAGCAGTGTGTTTCTCATTATCACTGTGGGGTGTTCTGTAGGAATTATTCTTGTTAGAATTCAGGGCTTGTCACACTAGTTGTAATTAAGCAGGTTACATGTTTAACAAAATAACATAGCATTGTGTTTTACAAAAAGGAAGAAGTCCAGTTGCAACCAGATCTTAAACCTCATTAAAACAGAGCAAGCCCAAAGAGTTCTCCTGTTCTGAATAACACTGTTGAGGACAAGTATCGTCATGAGCTGGTGCCCATGGCTGAAATGCCATGTTTTGGTGCTGGTGGAATCTGAAGGCTGCTGAAGTTTTGGAAAACAATGACAAGAGAGAGAAGGTATGATTGAAACAGGGGAGAATTGATACTGAGGTGAAATGCTACCCTGTCCTCTACACATTATTGATTCCCGTCCACAACTCAATCAGCAAAAACCTCTGTATTCTGAAGGTTAGCAGTGATGGACACAAACAGAATTGCATTAACTTACAGGGCAGAAACCATGTTGCTTAGAGGACCAGCTGGTTTCAGGTCTCCAAGCCTAGCTGTTCCTGAAAAGTTTTACCACAGAATGACTTGGGTTGATTCAAGAGGAATGGAGTGATTGATTGATTTCTTTCTCAGTGTAAACCTCACCAGGTTATATGTATCTATGCGGCAAGAGACAATAGAGGGTAACCAACATGAATATGAGAACTCCCCAGATTTCATCATTACATGGTGTGCAGATGCATAGTATGTAAATCATTACAGAGGGAGAATCCAGCAGGGGTTAGTAAATTACTGACTAGCCCAAAGAGCATTGGGCTGACATCTTTCTATTTCCACCAGAGTCTTGGTGTTTTTGGAGCAGACTTTGGCAGACCTCACCTGGCTGCAGGGAAAGTAAGGGCATCGCCACGGTGGTTCTGCTTGCAATACAACCTGGAGACTGTCCCACACGTCCTGCTCTGCCCAGCAGCTGCACGATGTACAGCAGTGGGTTTCCTAAGTACGCCTTCTCACCTCACAAGGTCTCCATCCAGGAAATGTGTGAGAAAGGACAAAACCTTGTGCCCTGAAGCCTAGCCTCAAAAGGAAGGAGTGGGTTTGTACCACTCTAGTCCTTGGCAATGCCAAGCTGCATAGGAGCCCATGTATGAGTTCAAAACTTCTTGTCCCTGCAGAGAACCGAGACCGCCCCTTTTCAGACTGAGTGTGTGCAGCAGCTGGTACTTGTCAGTTTTCTAAGTATTCAAAGCAGGAGAGGAGCTAGCACGAAAAACAAATGTTCAGCAATGTAAGCCCACGGTTTCTTTTTTTCAGGAAATTCCACAGAGGTACCTGAAGGCAAATGTTGTTCTTAGCATCAGCTCCCCACTTCAGACAATGCCAGTGCAGTAAGTTTATGTTGTAGTCAAAATTGGGGTGGTAAGGAAAGGTCTGGCTGGAACTTTGCTGATGGGGCAGCTTGAATGAACAGTAGCTGCTGGGAGCCCAGCTTCCTTGCATTCCCCTGCAATGCCGGAGCATTTGCCAGATGCACGTGCCCCCAGCAGAGATGGAGAGCTTTGCAGGAGCTCCTAGGAGCCACTTGGCACTTCTGGGGATGAAGCACAGCACTCTCCAGCTATGTCAGAGCCCCCTGAGATAGATCCGGAGCCCTTGGCCAATTGTTACATTACTGTGTATGCTTAAAGGCTTGGATCTAGGCCATCTCGTATAGAAAAAAAAATGCCTTTTCTTTTTCAGGTGACAGTAGGTCCAAGGCCTTGGAATGTTTAATTTTCCACTAATGTGTGCTGTTAATTATGTGGATTACTTGAGCTAAAATAATGAGGTCCTAGCTTTTTGCCTCAGGGACTGGGTCCTGAGTAGTTTTCCCTAGAATTCATGTTAACGGGGGATTACACAGTGGCTGACTATTACAGGGAAGATGCTTTAGTCTCCTTTGTAAAGGAGAAAAAGAAAACAAAATTATAGCTTTGCAATGAATTTAATTTTCTTAGCCTTAACCATCCCTCATCATTTTGAACTGGTACTCTAAACATGCACAAACATTCCATAAATAAGCAAAAATATTTATATATATTTATATGTACAAAATGCCTGAATTTTGACTCTCAAAGCCAACATGCAAAAGCCACCAAAGCATAGTCTATATCCACAGATGACTATTCCACCTCATCTTCTCCATTTGTTGACTGGGAGTGGATAGGGTTGGGGAAAGTTAAGATTTCTTCTCATTGAAAAAGCATCTTGCACTTTCTCTATGTTACTACAAAGGAGGCAAAGTGATTAAGGAGGAAACTGAATCCTTTTTTAAAGGCAAAAGTTTGTTAACTGCAGCTCACCTTCTGTAGCATTTCCTTTACTGCAAACTGACTGACTTAGACATTCCCCATCTGCTTGTAAGAATAAAGCTTCTCTCTAGTTAAAGGAAAAAAAGGGATTAGTCTCAAAATAGTGCAAGGATGCTAGTTATAGTGTGTGTGTTAATTGTGCAGTGGCTTGTGAAATGATGGCAAGTTTGGGTTGTTTTGGGGGATGTGGTTTGTAGCCTTGAGACAATCTGGGTAAGAGATCATAAAGCAGTAGTTAAAATGCAGTGGAAATGCCAACCAGGTCTCTAAATTTTTTCCAGGAAAAAACTCAAAACACTTTGAAGCTAAAGTAAACAAGGGAGCAGGAAGGCTCATTTCTCTCCTGCTGGATTGAATTTTCATTCACACGTGCTTCTGAAAACTGAAAATTACTTACTTATGGTATGCAAACTTTTGTTTCAAAGAACCAAGACCATCAGCAAGACATACTGATCACCTATGCACAGTACTTCTTTCAAGAAATGTCTGTCCTGCCATGATCCATTCTTGGAACACATTTTTTTCCCAGTGTGTAATGTAACACTCACTACAGCTTAGAAAACCCACTGTGAAATGGTTTCCCCTGCTGTTGTCTCGGTTGAAAAAATGGTTCAAGGGCTTGCAGAAACTCTGCCACTTTTTACTTTAGCCCATTTGTGCACTTGACACAAGGGCACAACTTGAAGAAATCTCTTATCTCTATCGGTTTCCATTTCTATTCTCTATCTCCATCCCTTCTGCATTTACAAGGTAGTCCTAAATCCCAATTTATAGATGTTTCAGTGTCCCTAGTGGAACAACTTAGTTTTCTTCAGACACTTCCTAGAGAAAAATGAATTTAGCTGTTTCCAGACTGACATTGAGGACAACTCAAAACAGCATTCCCATTCTTTACCTCCAGCTATACTTACGTGGCTTTTTTTTTTCCCCTGAAGATTTTTTTTTTTTCCTTCTAACATTTATTTAGTAGTTTGCCTTGAGCTGATGAGTAGTGAAGGAAGCTTCCACTATCTCAGTCTTACATGTCTTAGAGTCCCCTAGTCTTGGAGCTGATTTTAGTGATGAGTGAGAGATTACGCTGCACTGATAATTCTATGCATCTGTGCTACTTTCCGTGCAAGGATTGCAAAGTGCTTTAACAACCTCAGCTCTCATGAGACATCATTAGCTCCTCAAATAGGAGCTTCCCCTTCCCTAATCGGATACTGAGACACAGCACAGGTAAGGGGGTGATGAAACTGTAGAGTGGAGTTTGCACTCCTGCTGATTAAGTCCATGTTTTGCATTTTCAGTGACATGGTTCTTGTTCGAATGCGCTTTTCCAAACTAGAAATGAAAGCATGCCAGACATCATCCCACCCTGAAGTAAGGGCTGTGGGACCTTGTCAGCACAGGTTCCTTACTCCATATAGGCTGGTATGAGTCAAAACCAAACTGCACTGAAGTTAAAGAGAAAACTGGATGAAATGTAGCAGCCTAACCTGCCTACAGGAGCTTAGAAGAGATAAATGGAGAACCTGAAACTCTGCTATAGTCCAGTAATCAATGTGAAATTCAGACAAATGATTACTAAGAATGACTTGAGGAAAGTCACTGAGGCTTAGATGGAATATGAAGTCTTCCATCCATCTCCGTTTGTGGAGTTTGCAATGGCACTTTCTTGTTGTGAGGACTGATGTAAGATTAGTTGTTTGTGAAACAAGAGCTCATCTCAGTATGGTTGAGAAAAAACACTCAAGTGTCCAAGGACTGTTAGCAATGTTCCACAAAGGCAAGGAACTGTAAGCTCAAAACATGGGTATATTTGGCCTGTCATTAACTAGGATGGTTTGCACAGACAGGCCACGTCATCCTCTGCTCAAATACAAGCCTATCATCACCAGTGCTACTTGATATATTCCTTCTTGTAACAGATCTTCCCAAACCTACCTTTGTT